ACTGGTTCGGTCCGGTTAAGGCAGCAGACCAGTGGGCAGACCAGCAGGCGGATGACGTGGTAGGTGCTGGCTATGCGCTGGCGCTGACGTGGCGCCACGTGGCAACAGACGTGGCAATAGGCGGACGGATTATGCGGATGACGTGGACGATGGCTCAGCATGACGTGGCGATGACGTGGTCCGATGTGGCGCTGACGTGGCGGCTGACGTGTCTTGTCTTCTTCCTATGGGCTGCGTGATGACGCATTGATGACGCAGGCAGTTTTCACGCGGCGTTTGGGCGGCGCGTACGGACTCTTCTGGTTGCCAAAAAAATTCCCAAAAATAACTGATTTCTCGTCTCGACGAGACGAATCTAACGGTATGATCAGATCGTGATTCCGAGTAACTTCAAAAATCACGACTTTCTAACCTGTAGAAATTTTTCTGAAAAATTAAATGAGAAAACGGTGTATGGAAACTCAACCTCGCTCTGATACCACTTGTTGGGATTGGAAAATTCTTCTATTCAATATCAAGAACAGAATTACAATAGGAGGAGCAAACTCTCACACTCAACTATTACAAAAAACCAATCCTCGCCAATACACTTCTACTCTAAGTGTATTTTACTCTTCACACACTTTTCTCACTTTCTAAACTGATACAATGAACAACAATAGAACACTCTATTTATAGGCTAGGTTGGAGACAAGAGGAAGTTGCATCCAAGCTTCCTAGTTATCTCCATATCTCCTTCCATGTTCATATGTTTGATAGCCCCTTCCTAGAAGGTGTTATATGTCTCTTGACAACTTTCAAGAAAGAAGGTTTAAATTCCCTACAGTTCCGACCCCGCTATTTCGCACCCTAATCATAATAGTACGTACACAATGACCATAAGATGGGATGATAACAAATGAAAAACATAACAGCGAGGATATATTGTGTGTGCTTAAGTAGAACTAGCTAGATATATATCAATAGCAGGAGTAATAAAATGCAAATCAAATTTGGCAAAGTGTAGCTGTGTAGGTAGCTAGCCTAGCCAGGTTGATACAGTTTATTAACCTTTTTATTACCCTTGAAGATCATTTAGTCATTTTTCTTATAATTTTTTCTTTATTTTAGTAGTAAAATATATTTTAAATATAACATATTCATAATACATCAGATTCAGTCATTCCAGTCAGAACCCATCAAATTTAACATTTAAAAAATTCAACGCATTCGAGCATGTCCAAACGGGCAGTAAATGTACAGTTCCTAATTTTTCATCAATTACTTGCCAGAATTCGCAAGTCAATAAAGTTATGAGACAAGTAATATGTAAATGCATAACTTAAAATTAGTAGTTCTTTCAAAAAAAAACTTAAAATTAGTAGTAGTAAATTAGTAATAACAACAATAGGAGAAATGATCATGTCCAGCAGCCCCCGGTCCGAACAGTGTCCGAACATGGCCATTTGGGAACTTACCGGTGGAATTTTTTGATGAATTTTTTTTAACATGTTCCTCATCAAGTCTAGTTTGTCCATACCAAATTTAAGCTCAAAATTCGATCGGGAAGGTATTCAAATCGTTTTTTGAAGTTGACTGCGTCAAAATGTACATATAAAAACGCAGTCAACTTCAAAAAATGATTTGAATGTCTTACCGATCGAATTTTGAACTGAAATTTGGTATGGAAAAACTAGACTTCATGAGGAACATTCTCAAAACGTTTCATCAAAAAATTCCATCGGGAAGTGCTCCAAATGGTCATGTTTGGACATTGTTCAGACCGGGGCTGCTAGACAGAATCATTTCTCCAACAATAGTTCCAAATAGACTAGCAATGCATGCATAACCTGATAACCAGATGACAGAAGACAAAAATTTAATTTCTGTGATAGTATTGCATAGTATATACGTAGTATATTTTGCGTATAAATATGCAATGCCGGCCGGCCACGTACCCTTGATTACGGTCATTGGCCAGTTGAAGTAGAGGATTCACGCTTTTGCTCCCGGCGGTGCTTCCGGTAACAGTAGCCGCCAACCCCAAACAGGAGAAGACTCACACATACGCAAAAACCAATTCCAACAGCTTTACCCCAAGTGTTCATGGTTGGGTGTATAGTAGCTGGCCGATGCGAAAGGCTGAGAGGTAATTTAGGATCGAATTATTAAGCTAAAGGAAACACAAACCGGTATGTAGCTTTGGTTGAAGCTAATTAAGTTGCTATTTAAATACAGTTTTCAGTGCCATTTTTTTTACTCCATACCAAAAGCAAGATTAATTCAAGTATATAAATAATAACAATAATAATTAAAGGTATTTGACAAAATTAAAGTTAAATGATGAACATTAATACAGGGTAGACCGACCCGTTTTAAATTTTTTATTTTAAAAGTCTATTATATTTAATATAATATGCTACAAACACCCGGAATTTTTCAAGAACCGTTACGTTGGTTTCATTTAACGAGTAGGTACGGTTCGGGTATACCAATTTCCAAAATAAAAATACAATTTTTTTTCAAAATTTTACATATGCAATATTAGTATCATAAGAAATACTTCCTCTGTTCTATTTTAATTGCAACAATCAACATTTCACGTTTGCTATTGGCTACTATTCACGTGTGTATGAGGATTGCTGCATGAAGACTCCTTTTTGTTGTATACTTGTATTTCTATGTAACATTATTATCTCTTCCTATTTTTACGTAGATGTAGCAGTAGATTAGAATAGGTTGTTGAGATAATTGTATTTAAATAGTATAGCAGCAGGCTGAGAACCCCCAGATCATTGACGATCCAATATACACATTCAGTTCACATATTTGCGTCTAGTTTTCTATATGGTATCAGAGCAGTGACTTAGATCCTGCGATTTATCAAGCAACGATGGCAAACGACTCGAACGGCAACAACAACGACGGCGGACGAAGGAAAATCAATGATATTTCTTCTCCGTATTACCTCTCAAGCGCTGATTTCCCAGGGATGAATATCTGTGGAATGGTGCTGAAGGGCGAATCGAATTACCGCGAGTGGTCTACGGCTATGAAGAACGCTCTGCGGGCAAAACGGAAGGTGGGATTCATTGACGGCAGTATCCCACAGCCGACGACGAACCCCGCGGACTCGGAAGATTGGGTAATTGTGAACGCTATGATCGTTGGCTGGCTCATGACGGCCACTGATCTGGTGCTTAGGTCAAATTTGACCTACATGGATAGTGCCTTGAATTTCTGGGATGATCTGAAAACCCGTTTCTCTGTGGCAGATCCCATGCGAATTTATGAATTGAAGGAGGCAATTCGGCAGTGCAGGCAAAAGGGTCAAACTGTTACGACGTACTTCGGAGAGCTTAAAACACTTTGGGACGATTATGACGGGCTCAGGGCCATACCGCAGTGTAAGTGTACTGGGTGTACCTGCGATCTCAATAAGCAATTCCTCAAGCTTATTGAAATTGAGAAAACCCATGAGTTCCTTCTCGGCCTTGATCATGAAGGTTTCGGTGTTCTGCGTTCCAATATCTTAAGCAAGGATGAGCTGCCGCCAATGACCAAGGTTTACCAGGCTGTGACCCAGGAAGAGAGGACACGTAACGTGATTCGAGGCAGAGAAGAACGAACTGAAGTTGTGTCTTTAGCTGCAAGAACGGGAGACGGACGGGATGAGAAGCTTAAGTGCACATACTGCCACAAAGGTGGTCACGACGTGGACAATTGCTTCAAGAAAACTGGCCGCTATCCGGAGTGGTGGTATGACAACCCCGGTCGAGGAAGAGGAAGTGGCCGGGGAAAAGAACGAAGTGGAACTGGCCGCGGACGAGGGAAGGCAGTAGCACACGCCATGATTGGTGAAGCATCTGAAGAAAAACACTGTGAAGGCGCTACACAGAACAAGGTGCCGGGACTTTCTGATGAACAATGGAAGATTTTGCTCCAACTTGTTGAAAATAGTAAGGCTACATCCTCAAGCGAAAAGTTATCAGGTATACCGAATGAACTTGACTGGCTCTTAGACTCTGGAGCCTCTTATCACATGACGGGTAGGGCCGAGCTATTTTCCAAAATAGATAAGTTGAATCCGATACCGGTTACCATGCCAGATGGCAAAATTACTTATGCCACGAGTATAGGTGAAATAAACATGAGTCCCGAAGTACATTTAAAAAATGTGCTTTTAGTTCCCGGTTTGAATTGCAATTTAATCTCAGTTGCACGCTTGATTGATGACATAGGATGTGAGATTTATTTTGCTAATGATGTTTGTGTAATACAGGGCCTACCTTCGAGGACGCCGATTGGAGTGGCTAAACGGAAAGGAGGAGTTTATTATTTTCACTGTCTGGACAGAATTCAAGCTCATTCAGTCAAGGGTGTTCATTCAGGTGAATTGTGGCATTCAAGATTAGGGCATCCGTCCAAGACAGTACTGCGTTTAGTTAGTGATTTGAATAAATCGTTGTTTCCAGTTGATTTGAATAATGTTTGTGATGCGTGTTTACGTGGAAAACAAACTCGTGATTCTTTCAATTATAATTCAGCCAAAGCTATTGAACCATTTGAGTTGATTCACTGTGATATCTGGGGTCCGTATAGAACACCTGCCACGTGTGGTGCACGTTATTTCTTAACAATAGTGGATGATTACTCACGTGCAGTGTGGGTGCATTTGATTTGTGATAAGGGGGAGGTACGACATGTTATGCAATATTTCCTTGCTATGACACGCAGACAGTTTAATAAACAAGTGAAAATTGTTAGAAGTGACAATGGTAAGGAATTTACAAGTTTGAAAGGGTATTTTTTGGAGCAGGGAATAATATTTCAAACCTCATGTGTTTATACCCCACAACAAAATGGAAGGGTGGAGAGGAAACATAGGCACATTCTTGATATGGCCCGAACTTTGCGTTTTCATGCACATTTGCCGATCACCTTTTGGGGGGAATGCGTCCTAACTGCTAGTTATCTCATTAATAGATTACCCTCGCCGGTTCTGGATAACAAGAGTCCATATGAAATGCTGTATAATAAACCACCCAATTATGATCGATTACGTGTCTTTGGATGCTTGTGCTATGCACATAACAAAGATCGTAATGGTGACAAATTTGCCCCACGTGGAATTCGATGTGTTTTCTTGGGATATGCTTATAATCAAAAGGGGTGGAAAGTCTTTGATTTGGAAAAACGACGACATTTTGTCTCACGTGATGTACGTTTTGTTGAAACCGATTTTCCATATCAACATAGCATCACGGATGGTGGTGAAATCTTAGAACAACGGCAGAATGACGAGGCAGCCACATGGGTCCGTTTGACCCACTTGGCAGATTCCGAAGATAGCACTGGCACGGGCAGAACTAATAGGGAGGCACGTGGTGATGATTTCCATGCAGACTTACATGCAGCAGACCATCAATCCGGCACTCCACCGAATGATACTTCAGCAACCACGTCCGGAATTCAGCCCAAACGAACGAGGAAGCGTCCTGTTTGGCACAATGATTATGATGTACGACTTAACACAGTGATAATAAACTCTCCTCCCCACGTTTGCGCTACTCCAAAGGCCAATTCAGGTAACCCTTATTCACTTTCTCATTATGTAAAATATGCTCATTTTTCTGTCCAGCATCGAGCCTTTCTTGCAGATCTTTCTGCTCACAAGGAACCTACCTCTTATCATGAGGCTGTCCGTGATTCGCATTGGCGTGAGGCAATGCAACGTGAGATTCAAGCTCTTGAACGCACTGGTACCTGGGAAGTTCAGTCTTTGCCGCCTGGTAAGAAAGCCATTTTTTGTAAATGGGTGTTCAAAATTAAATATAACACTGACGGCAGCATAGCTAGGTACAAGGCACGTTTGGTTGTTTGTGGTAATAGACAGGTACATGGCATTGATTATTCAGAGACTTTTGCTCCCGTGGCGAAAATGGTAACTGTGCGTACCATAATGGCAGTTGCCTCTGTTCGACATTGGGAGATTCATCAGATGGACGTTGACAATGCCTTTTTGCATGGTGATTTACGTGAGGAGGTATATATGCATTTGCCAACGCATAAGTTTGACCATTAATAACTTTCATTCCTTATTAGTAAAAAAATTAAAAAAATCATATTTTGAAATTTTAGAATGAGAAGAATTTAACAATATTTTTTAAAATTTTAATTTATAATACATTAATAAATAAAATATAGTCAAAGTAGAATATGTAAATAGTGCAAAAAGTCCAATGTTGCAATTAAAAGAGAACGGAGGTAGTATTATATATTGTTTCAATTTGATATATTTTTTGTGAAAATCCGAACACAAACCAAAGAATTATAATATTTTATGAATTAGAGATACATTAAATAATACGTATACAACATAAAGTGGAGAACGGAGTCAAATACTCCGTATGTAATACCATAGTAAAAAGTTATACGGAGTAATAGGGAAGGATCTTTCATAAAATTGTAAACTAGGGAAAACTAAGATAAGACTTGGAAAAAGGGGATGCAATTCAAGTCTATGCTATGGCAGGCATCAATATAATGTTCTCACTTTGATGAAAAAGATCAATATTTATAGATAATTTATAGATAAATTCCTGATTTAATGAATTGAAAATAAAAAAAGATAAATAATTTATAGATTATTTGTAGATACGTACGTTACTTGATCTCATTCAGTCATTCTGATCTTATTACAAAATATTATATACTCCGTATGATCATGCATATTTTTTCAAAAGATGTTTTATTAGGTAGGTATAATGGTATATCACGAATAATAAAATTTATACGCGATGAATCAAATATAGAGTTGGAAATTTACATCATATAAAGAGTTTGGAAATCTACATTATTGTTGAATGTTGAGTATATTAGAGTTGATGTATTCACAGTACGAGCTTTGATATATCAGGTTGTTTGACACTTGATTGCAGTTATATTGTAGGGAGATTTATACAAATAAGACTTAAACATATCAAGTTTTCAAAATTAGGACTACAAGCTCGTGTAGGATATAAGTGCACATGTTCTGACTATTATACCCTTAATTTATAATCAATTGCTCAATCCAGGAAGAAATTGCAGGCTTGCAACGATGAACTATTCTTCCGGAGCGGACTTGACAGAGAGCACCAACAGAGCATCAACATATTCCAAATCCTACGAGCTTCCAAATCGATCTGCTCCATGTGTTCCTCCCCTTGGCGGCAGCGAATCCATAAGAAATCTCCATAATAGTATGGCTATTAACCACGGTAGACGGAGTCTAATTTCTTCGACGGACTTGACAGAGAGCATCTACAAGTTTCGACGAGTAGATATGTTGCAAGCCCGACTTTTCCACCTGAATCCATCCACACAGGTAGGCGGCGTTTGATCTCGGTCTGAATCGCCTGTTTTCCTTTGCTTCTTCCGTGAGAGGTTTTAGTTGACATTAGGATTTGCGATCGAAGATGATAATTCCATCGTATCAACCAGCGAAGTCCACGACTTTGTGAAACAGACTGCTCCTCTATCTTTGTGGTATTGCAGATTGGAACTTGGAAGCAGGATTTTAGAGATTCAATTTCAACTGAAAATTAAAGTGCATGAGTAGGCATTAATTAGTCATTAATGGCATATGCACAGACATTAAACTTCACGGACAGAATCCAGGAATTCGCGGGAGATGAAGTCTACGCTTCTTTTCTCCGAGCCGTCACCGGCTTCAATGGCCACCAGGACGTGAAGAAATTGGATAGAGAGGTGGATGCTTTGTTCCAAAAGAGCCAGAACCTGGAGCTGTACGTTTTGATGTAAGTTGTGGTATGAAATTATGAATCATTTGATGTTAGATGTAGAGAATATGTGATTTGTACCATTAGACAATGAATAAGATTCTGTAAATTGAATTGTTCTATCCAATTGCGAGTGTAGTACTTATACAATAATTACTGTCAATTCGTAAGGTAGTTGTAGAATCTTGTACACACCATGTTCTTGTAACAAAAAAGAAGGTGAGACTGAACTGCTACTTCAATGTGAATAGTACCTAAGATATCGTAAAGGGACTATTGAAAGAAGAGCAATGAATAAGTGATTGTTTTAATAGAGGAAAAGAGTGTCAAAAAGTCAAAAACAAGACTTGGGATCGGAGGACTGAATTCACACTGTCAAACGTAGGTTCATTTCTTCAGACCTTTCTTGGAGACATTCTTACCAAATGTGATGGAGATGTTAGGTGTTTCTTGGAGACTTCTGTATTGACATGGTCTGTAATTATCCACAACATGATGACGATGGGTATCTGGGGTTTCAATTTGATATATTTCACCTATATTAAAGTATTGTGCATGTTTACCTTAATACTAACAAATTTATGGCTTTATAGGGGCAATTGTGGTATGTTTGTCATAAAGTTTCCTGAATTTCTTATGATGGATAAAGACGTGAGTGAAGTTTCAAAGCAAGACGTGAATAAATACCAACAAAAAATGATGACATAGCTACTGATGAATGCACCACGAAGACAAGGGCTGGCGTAGCATGATATGTAGCAAATGCAGTAGTTGGACTAAGATGCATGGTTTGTATTAATTAGGTTTTTGGAAATGAAAGAAACTTGTGAAACTTTCTTCGTTTAGTCATTAATTCTTCTTCATAAATATTGATAACATTTGGTTTTGAAATATGAGTATATGCAATCTCCTTTTTGGTGTCATATCAAATGCTTGTTTATTTTTTTATTTTATGTTGAAGTCAAGTGTACTAGCTGCTTGAAGTACGAAATAAAGTCCATAAGTAGACATTAATAGATCTTTAATGACACAAATGTAGACATTAAACTCCTACGACTACAAGTACAAAAATTAGTACAAATGTATAGAGGAAATATGTAAACTAATAGATTCAACTACAAAAATAATGCTGAAATATATTTATCATGCATAAAAATATGTGACATCACATGATATATATGAACATAAACTTGAAAAATGTAGTCTTATTTAGTGGTGTTCGTAGAGTTCTTTCTAAATATGACTATGCAATCTTCTTTTTTTGAACATTAAATTACTACAATTAAATTAAGTACATGAATCAATACAAAATTGTAATAAACACCGCATGAATATCAACATAGAGTTCTTAAAAATGGAAACCTAAAACGGTTGTGACACCAATGGTTACGGATCCATATTAAGCCAAATATTTTCGTTACACATGAAGAGATATGTTTAAAATATTAAGTGGGAAGAATGAAGACGTTTAGTGCAATTTGCAATAGATAGTGTATATGAACACGTGAAATAGTCATTAATAAGACAATAAGAAGATGGTAAGAGGACATTAATTCTGAATGTAACGGGTAATCAGGTATGAATAACATAAGTACATTAACTCAAACTCAGAAAACCATGAAAATTAACATGAATTCCAATGCCAACAAACCGCGGCAGTTAAGAATAGCGAGAAAAAGTACAAGTTTTACAACATTGAATTCATAGAATATTATCAAAATAAGAACTACGAATCGGGATAGCGTTCTTGCAAGTACAAGGTACTCCCCACGACGATACTAAAGTCTCAACGACTTTAAATCCTAAGTAGTTTCCAGTAAAACATCCCACAAGGCAGTATCCCCAGGTTTGAACCAACGACGTTATATCTTCTTCTTGTTTCGAGAGTAAACCGTCATCCCCAGAGGGTGAGAAATACACTAGTTGCATACCCTGAGTAGTACCCCTATTGTTCTGAAACAGACCAATCTAGTTTTTTTTTGGAGGGGGGCATCATTGGTTTCTTATTCACGACTTTTGTCGAACACTTTATATGCTTCAGTTGAACCTTCCATTTCAGCAAATTATTGGACTACAACTGGTGGTATCTGGTTCACCAAAAAGATGATCAAAGAACTATATGAAGTTCAAAAAAATAGAAATCGACATTGAAAACTAAAAATAGATAAGAGAAACACTTTGAATTGCAATTTCAAGATCAAGATGAGAATTCAAACTTGAAGATGACAAAAGTGATACAAAATATATAAACAAAATATATCAGACAAGTGCAGACATTAAATAGTCTTTAAACAATTATAGAGAGCCATTAAATTCCAATAAAAGGAAGTGTATGAAATTCAGAACATAACATGTGACTTCTATAATCAAAGCATGTACCTTCTAATTTGGAATATATAGCTTCCAGAAAGCATTACTGCACGAGCAGCCCAGAAGCAACCATCATCAACACAAACAACATAATTCATCCGTTCTTAAATAAATGCAATGGTCAACATTTCACACTTGCCGAGACACAACTTTGACCATTAATATAAATAATTTTGTATTAGTAAAAAAATTAAAAAAATTAGATTATGAAAATTTACAATGAGACAAGTTTAACAATACTTTTTTCATAAAATAATATTATTACATTAATAAATAAAACGTAGTCAAAGTAGAACATGTGAATAGTGTAAAAGTCAAAGTGTTGCATTTATTTAAGAACGGATGTAGTACAATACTTTGGGGTTTGATTAGCAATTGCAAACATCTTTAAATCATAATCTAAAGGGTTTTATTTTAATTTATATCATGTTTAATGATAATAGCTAATGAATTTTGCAGAATTTTACATTTGAAATACTTACAAACTTCATGGATCCAGATTTCTCTCTTCTTAGTCATCATCAAGAAAGATCTACTCTGAAATTCAGCTAATCCGCTGCGTATTTCTGTAATCATATTCATTAACTTAGTTCAATATAAGTTTTCCTTTGTTCTGTAAATTAATATAAACGAATTCTAATAAAAAATGGAAGGTTCGTTGGATCAAGGAAATTACCTGAATTTTGAAGATCAACGCTTGAATACCAATCCAAGTATGACTCTGTAACCCGAATTCGTCCTCAATTGTTAGAGAATATGGATGTAATTGAAAGTTGAATTCATACGGAGGTATCGAACGTGAAACAGTGAAAAGACTCCATGAGAATGCTGAATGAGGAAGAAAGCTGGAGTGTGAAGCTCCTGGTCGTTAGCGTTGTGTCGTTCTTAATTTGGGGGAAATCTAATAAATAGCTACAGGGGTAAAAGTGGATATTTAAAATCAAGTTTCCTAAAATACAACTAAATAAGTCACACGTATGGGAGAAACAACTACATGTCTTCTTTTGGTAAAAACCGTATGAATTAATCCTACGGGAATCAATTTTCTCTATATTGTAAGAGAGAAATGATTTTTGTGTTTTAGTTTAAGGATTTGTCACTTTAAATAGGCGTTTATTAATTATTTGATTTGAAATTTATAGTGTTTTAGTTAACAACTACATGAGTGGTTAATATTTTTTTTTGTTAATCAATACTCGATTATATATCTAATATTATGGTACAATAGATAATTATACTGAAATTTCAATAATAAAAAGAAAAATAAAACTAATAATCTCAATCATTGTTGGTCCACTCACAATAATCCCAACTATTACCTATTTCTTTATAATTCCAACTATATGTCTTGTCCGTTTATAATAGTCCATGAGCGGGTATGGAGGTCACTTTTTAAATAGAAACCAGGTGTATCAAACTACTATTACATAAATAAATAATTTGGATTGTGCTCATTCTTCTTTTTATAATCACAATCATCAATTCAATTATTTTACAAACTAGGTCAAACACTTTATAAAAAAACTCAAAATTAAGCTTTTGTAATGCTCCCTTTGTATTCTTCTGTTTCATTGCTAGACTTTCCGTTTTTAGATGGATTTAAAGTTTGGGAAAACTGTCAAATAGGTCATCGAACTTTCATAAAAAAGTCAATTAAGTCCTTCTATAGGAGACTCTGTCCGGTCGTCGCGATTTGGGGCGGTTTCCGGTGGAATTTTTTGATGAAATTTTTTGAGCATCTTATTCACCAAGTCTAGTTTACTCATACCAAATTTCAGCTAAAAATTCAATCGGGAGCGCATTCAAATTAATTCGAGAACGCAAAAATGTGCAGTTATCTTTATGAATTAATTTGAATGTGTTCCCGATTGAATTTTTAGCTGAAATTTGGTATGAGTAAACTAGACTTGGTGAATAAGATGCTCAAAAAATTTCATCAAAAAATTCCACCGGGAACTGCCCCAAATCGCGACGGCCGGACAAAACATCCTATAGAAGGACTTAATTGGCCTATTTATGAAAGTTCGAGGACCTATTTGACTGTTTTCCCTTAAAGTTTTACTATAGAGTACATTTTTTCTCTTCGGTAAACTTTATCTTCAACTATATACTCCGTACTTTGTACCTTCTCCCCTACTATATACTCCACAATACTCATTACATAAAAAAACGGAGTATTTGTACAAAACGTTTCCACAATACTCATTACATGATACATCTATTACTTTTCCACAATACTCATTACATCTACTCCCTCTGTCCCTAAATTTACTTCCATTTCGCTTTTCGAGAGTCAACTTAAATCACTCTTAAACTCTTACTTTTTGTATCAAAACTTTATGAAAATTGATTTTTTTTGTGCAGGCTTTGTAGCGGGTTTAATGTAGTTTCTGAATATGTAAATTTTATTTACTAAAAATAATCCGAGTTTTCACAGGGATCATTTAACTTTATCGTCGGTCAACCTTCGTAATCCGCAATCGGAACAACATTCAGGGACGGAGGGAGTATTACTTTTCCCTTAAATGTTGTACAAAACGTCAAAACCTATTGAAATTTCAATACTCAGGTGTATATAGATTTAACAAAATCTAAAAGTATATGTGCTTTAAAAACGAAAAAATATTACATTTTATTCAATGATTTAAGGTTCAATTTTCAAATTCATGATTTTGTATTGATTTTTAATCAGTTTTAA